GGGGGCCAGGGCAAGGGAACTAACCTAACATAAAAGTACAGATAAAGCCCTCGAGGGTTCAGAGCTACACTTTTTGAGCCCCAGCTTCATTTTACACCTTTGAGAACACACTGCTCAGCCCAGAGCGCCTACCTACAGGGAACCCTCAATCTAAGTATGCTTCTTCCAAGTGTTTTTTCACTTGTGTAAGAAGGAAGCAAATCATTAATGTACAGGTTAGTTTTAAAGAGTTTAAGGAATCTTCACAAATCACAACCTCTTATTAATTGGAAGATCGGTATAAAAAAAAAAATCATCTTCGTTAACTACACAGATGAGCCATCTACACACTGAGAAAATGAAAACTAGCTACAAGATGATCATAAATACAAAATTTATATGGAACTTAAGTAAAAATAGCCATAGTATAAATTTGCAACACTTTCATATAAAAGACAATCCTGTATAACATCTCCATGAAGAAAGCCCACATAACAAGTGCTGCCCAGCACGGGTGCAGCACATACAGAGTATTCCAAAACACGTGTACAACTTTCACACAAATCTCAAGGACAGTAGGTTTGAAAGGCTGTACGTATTTCTAGCCTTTTTAAAAAGTAACCCATCGGATTTTCTGAATGACTTGCTTTTAAGCATTCATGTTCAGATCCATCAGGGACTGTTTTTCCGAGTGGTGTGCCTCCTATTTGAAATTTAAATTGGTTCTCAAAAAAAAAAATCTTAAGTCATTTTTGACATGCAGCTCTAGTTTACAAGTCTTACAGACCCATCCTTAAAACATTTTGAACAGTGTTAGCAGCAGCTTCTCCAAGGACATTTTGTCTATACTGAGGTTGCAAGAATAAGTTCCATATTTTAAAATTAATCACAGCAGAACAGAGATAACAGAACACTCAGACTGCACCAAAGGTTGATAATGACTTTTTTTTTTTTTTTGAAAACACACCAAGTTTAATACTATTGTAATAGTCTAATTAGTACTATACTTGCATGATTCAATTAGAACGTGTTTTAGTAGGAAAAAAACCTGATTCTGGAAAGTAGAATAACATTACACTTTAGTGCATAGCTAGTGATCTGTCAAACACAGATTTAGCCTTTACAGTGTTTGCTACTTGTTGTTTGCCGTATAAACATTACTCAGAGTTGAGTATCTCCAGTATCATGCCACAATATTTTTCCTACAAATGTAAAACTAAATTGGGGATATCAATGGTTGCATAGCACCTTTTTTCCTTAAATCCTTATCACAATTCAGTGTTCATTGTAAGAAGATATTCCAATACATATCAAATACAGCCAAACCCAAGTTAGCACTATTATTCCCTACTTTATTAATGGACAGGAGCAATGACATACACATTATGTTCAAGAAACCTTAAAAGACTCATATAGCTCACTTCCAGATTCACGACAGATCTATGAAGAGATGAGCTGCTGTCACTTGCTGCCTGCTTAATCCCTGCTCATCAGACAGCGATCCTACAGTTAACTCTATGATGATGCAAAATACTTAGTATCTTCATTTTAAATAATCCGCATTTAACAGGTGACATATAAAAACTGAGGAAATGTAAGCAGAGACTTCAGAGAATCACCACACAAAGGAGTTTCTGACATTTCACAGCATCTTATAAACCATGTGTTCTTGTAGGACAAAGTGCGGGTTGGCTTGTTTTTCAAATCAGGGACACCATACTGAAATCCACCTCTTGTGAGAACATCTAATGCCTAAACATTCAGAAAGCCCAAATACCTACTCCTGAGCACTGGAAAGTGTTATACTTGACTTTTTAATGCTTCATAGTCTCAACAGCATACAACAAGGATGTTCTGTATCTTTGAAAGTTAAAACCTCTTTAAACAGCTGAAGAGGATATTAGAAGACTGGCTCCACGATATTACAAAAGTGAATAGAAATTGAATCAGAATTTAATACCGACATGCTCCTTCCTACACACTGAGCATCACAACACCCTGTACACATTAAAAAAATATCCTCTTCGGTACACAACCAAAGTCAATACTGCCCTCAGTCTGCCCACAGCCCTGCATATTTTTCAGTGTCTGGTAGTTTTGGATCCATGACTGAGGGGATATGTCTATTCTTACCTTCATGCAAGTTCATGTACCTGCATACACACACTGACTCCTGCTTCTCTCATGAAATATGGTTAAATTTTTGTTTTTCTTTTAGATTTTTATGAGCTCCCAATGCACAGATCATGAAAAAACAAATACATCATGGAAATAACAAATCCGTAATCTGAGCTTTTAGGTGCTCATTTCTTCCCCTCAGAACTACAGTGGCCAAAACGTTTTCTTAATTTTGTCAAATAAAAGCTTAGCTTGAGTGTGGGGTGGTTTTGGGTTTGTTTTTTTAAAAAAGCTGCTATGTACCTCAACTGTTACTGAATTCTGCTGTCTGTAAGCTTCTACAATTGCTCAGTTACGTGGGACAATGCCCAATTAACACAAGACAAACTGTTCTCATTATAGTGCAATATATATATTATCAACTGTATGTTTTCATGTATGTGGAAGCATATTTACATGTGTCCACTATATGAAATTCAAGCTCCAGACTGAGAACGTTCCTTAAGAAAATTAATATTCAATATATGCAGTGTAATTTTGTTCTTTACACAGCTGTAACAAATGCAAAGTTTCTACCATATACTTCCAAAACACAATATGCAACAGGACAGACAGGAAAGATTCAATTAATTCTTAGTAAATATGCTCTTTATGAGCATATAAAAAACAAAAAACAAAACAACTTTCAACACAAATCAGCCCTATTTATCTCAGTCTCAAAGGAAACCAGAGTTTTGCACTTGCAACTTGTCTCTTCTAATGAGAGATTATTTCATCTCTTGATTACTCCTTTTTCTTGAGGAACAAGATGAAATTCATGCATATTAGCAAGGTTTATGCAATATATATATAAAACCAACCAAGATTAAGACACATCTTATGCACATGAACACACGTCAACAGAACAGGAACATATAGGATCTCCCTGTAGGTATTCCTTACAAAAAAAAGCCTTATATATTAACCAAGTCAAAGGAGGGAAATACTGATAACCTTTAATGACTTAAGTCTTCTAACCACACCTAACCCTGTCTACCTGGTAAGTAATTTTCACTTTACACAGTTCAACAGACACACATTTATCTTGATATAAGTAGCAAAAACCAAAAGCTTCTTCCCACTACCCACCCATGCCCCTCTTTTCCTAACGTGCCGATTCCAGTGACAAAAAGTAGGAAAGCAATCAAAGGTAAAACCTTAAGTGCCTCTTCAGTTAATATTACTAGAGTAGTTTGAGTTCTGCCAAAAGTATTCTGAGTTGAAATGGCAGAACTGCACTGCATATGACAAGCTTGTATTGGCAAGAAATATACAACTTAGTGACTGCAAAGTGAGTACTTCTTGTTACAATCTCCTGAAGCAGGGAAAAAAAAAGATGTCATGCTTTGGCAAAAATCCCCCCTGACCAAAATGATTTCCTATAAAAAGTTCAAACATATTTTAAAACATTTAGCTGCCACTTTTTCTTGGCCTGAGGTTTTCAATTACTCAAACTCCTTGGGTCAAAAAACTCAACTGACAAGCTTGAGCTGTGTAGCATGCCTCCGAATTACCAAAAACTGAAAAATCTGGGGGCGTACTGTATGCTAAACTTTCAAAACAAACATTAATAAGAATGAAAGAGAAAGGTGCTTCAGTTGAAAGTGATAGAAACAAACCTATCGTACATAACATTTTAATAGAAGACTAGTAAGGTGACTTCTTTCACTACTGCATCACTTATCCGGTGCTTCTGTGGCATTTGGAAAGCACAAACATTCTGACAGAAAAAAAACACAGCTCTCAAGTAGAGACTTAAAAGTCCTGATCTTGCTTAGGTCAATACTTAAAGGAAGACAAGCACAGATGACCATTTTTCAGCTGGTGAACTAAGACTGTTACACCCCTTTTCTCTTAGAAGACTTCAAACAGGTAAGATCCACTTATTTTGATTGTCATAGCTAAAGTTATACAACACACAGTGTATGTGCTTATAAAACAAAGTAAGCAAGTATTAGCTAAAAAAAAAAAAAAAGCCTGCTGACAGAACAGAGGTATTGCGTAAACACAAATGACAAATCAAGTGTAAGCTTCAGTTTCAGACCCAGGGTCTGATACTTCTTTGGTCCAAGTGTATAAACTACACCACTGAGAAAAGCTATAGTCCATTATCAGCCACCTGACTTTTACGCTGTCTTACTGAGCTTTCAGTCTCTGAATCAGCTAGAGGCTGTTCACTTAAGTCTTCCATTTCTTCTTCTCCTGACTCCTTTCCAAGTGGTAAATCCTCCTCTGAGTCATCAACACTTGAATTTGCTGCATCTTCTCCATCTGTGAGATCTTTTCTGCCTGCAGTCTCTTCCACATCATCTGCGGAAAGCTCTGTAGCCGCCTCTGGTTCCTCTAATGCTGCATTCTCCACATTATCCTTTGTAATTGCTTCTTCTAAACAAAAGAAGAGTTTCAAATACTGAAGTTAGACTGAATCTCAGAATAAGGTCTTCTACAGTTACAGTTACTATTCTGCGATATTCATTATATTATTGAAAACTTGTAGGGGACTGTATTTTCCTTATTTTTAAATTGTTTCAAATAAATCTTCAGTAGTATTTCTCCTCCATTTTTATTTGTTTTTCTTGCATATCAGGCATACATAGCTTTCATTTTGTTCCACCAAGTTACAAACTAAAAGACAGACCAATTATAATTATACCTTTTCAAGGAATCAAGTATCAAACAAATCATTGGGAAGTGGTAAGATACCAGTAAGCTCTGTTGGGTAACAGCTGAGTCAACCAGCCAGCTGGATAGCACACTGCACAAGTAGGCAGAGGTGCATTTTATTTTTGATGGTGAAGAACAACTAAGATTTTGAAGATGGTAATTTTGCACACTTATGAATTCTAGGTCTGGTGAAAGTCTTACTGGCAAGGGTCACACATGCATGCATCTTCATCTTCAACAGCAAAACAATACACAAAAATGTACACAACTTAAAAATAAATTTTTCATTACAGTTAAGTTTTGACTCCACTTAACAGCACAAACATACCAAAAGGTGTTCCGGAACTTAACATACATCTGGTGCTGACATGAGACTTTATTTCGTGTGCAAGTTTTTGCCTCTCATGTTCATAGGAAGCAGAGTACTATTCAGAAGACTTCTCACTAAGGATCAGGAAGATGTATGTTTTCTTATTTTGTTTGAAGGAGATGCAAAACCTTCCCCCATCCCCAGATTCATATGATTCCCTCTATCTCCTCCTTTCCCCAACCAAATTACACTGAGAATTTTACAGGTTCAGAATACTGCATCTCCTAATGCAATATATAGAGTGTGTATTAGGATGCAGAAGTGTCCTGCTAAAGCAAATTCCTTTCTATAGTTAAGCAACAGGTCTAGTGATTGTGCACCTACATAAAATACAAAACCTCACTATCTTTCTTCAAGGCTTCCTCATTTTGAATGCATTCAGCCTCTTCACAGTTGTGGAAGCTAGAACAAATGTCTTGTTTTAGCTTGTTGGTTTTTTTTTCATTCTGCGTTGCTATCAATATTTTAGAACGAAACACATCCATCTTTGTCAGTGGGGCTAAAATGAATACCTGGATTATTGGTTCACATCTAAATTCCTGACAGGGTATTGCCCTCTCTCCTTCCTACAAGTTTACATTTAAATCTAAAGTGTCTCACCCACTTAAAGAATTCTTACCAGATGTTTCAGCTCTGTATCTCGACTTGGATGGGCAAAGGCAATCTGAAATCAAAACCAGTATCTATGTAAAAGAAAAAAAGGATTTTATTAGCAAATCATCCCAGGAGCACCCACACTATTAAGTTTTTTCCTATTTGTCCTTTTTAAGTAGACATACAATAAAAATAAAAAATTATATTATCTTGCTCAGAGATAAGAGCTAAATAAATATATAGAAAAAATGCATTCTCAGTGTACACCAACCAACATTCTCTGCTTTCTACTCCAAACTTTCTGCCTCCTAATTTCCTAAATTTATTCCGTATTGAAATGACTTGCATCTTAAGAAGAAAGGCCCAGAACACAGTTGATGAATTTTTATTTATTTAAAGCTTCTTGGTCAAGATTTTCCGTATTTTGAGATGTTATTCAATTCCTACCCCAGACTCCCCTATATTCAATGCGAACTTCCACCTTTTGTGCTTGATTTCGTCTTTTAGGTTTGTCTGTTGTTCTTATTCAAAGCAGCCTAGCATAGAACACATACAATCAAAATGCAAAAAAAATATTTAGGTCTCATTGTCATGTGCTAAGAGTAATGCAGAGGAAAGAAAAGACAGACAATACAGTCTTAGAGTAGTTAATTTCAGTTACTGAGAAACTTTTTAGAAAAATCTGAGTGATAAACTTTACATTTCTTTTCAGGTTTGGGTTGGGTTTTTTTTTTAGTGAAGAAGGGAAGGGTTTTTTAAATCATCATATTCATTTGCTCCTAGTTACACTAACTTCATTTGCACTCACCTGGTGATGAAGATCTACCATCTAGAAAAATGCAGCTGTTTAAATTGCATAACAAAAGACATTTGCTCATATATACCAATTCTGTACACATACTACATATAAAAATGTGGTTTTGCCTAAATACACACACACTGCTTTGAAATCACTTTCCTGTACTACTGAGACACACCCTCATGCATTTTTTTCTTTATTTCACTAACACTAATATTTTGGCTGAAGGGCAGAGATCAAGTGCCAGAAACAACCCTTACACATCCTACATGGAATAGTGATTTAGCAGCTAGTTAAACCAGTTATCAGCATAACTGTTTTAAACTGTCTTTGCAGTTGCAGAGTATGCTTGTGGACCAAGCAACTAATCTGAAAGAATTTCTATTCCCATCTTTATGTCCTTTTCCAGCTCAGTCTCTCATCTAATATTGATATTGAAGAGGTCATAGAGCCACATCATTCAAATATTCTGAGAGAAAATAATCCCAGCTCCACAGGTAAAGCAACTTTCAACTGTTTCCACTGATGAAGCAACATAAAGCTCAGGATATGGTGCTTAACACTCACATACACAGCTAAGAGGTTTGTGTGAATAACCTTCCTGATGCTTTGGAGATTGATATATGAACACACCAGTTCTGGTTATTAACAAGGGAGGTCAGATTTTTTTTTTTTCCCCACTTACTAATGAGGACTCAAATCAAAAGATCGCAGGGGAAAAAAGTGAAATCAGTTTTTATTAAAATCAAGCTGTAACCACAAAGCTATGTTCTGTAATACAGTAAATCAATTAAACCCCCAAATCATCAAAGCTTTTAAAAACTTTCATCCTTTCATTTTGAGCAACAGTGCTAACAGTGCTTATGTTGCTAACTCCCACAAATACAATCCCACTCCAGCTAATAAAAATCTCTACAAAGTGTGTGTTTTTAGAAAGCTGGAGTCTTTACACAATTCTGATCACACGCATTCAATTCTTAAGTAGGAAAGTCTTAGATACAAAAGGCCAATATAAAAATTGCTTTTTTAGTGGATGGACTAAACAAATCTAAATTGAAGCATGTATTTCATAAAAATTTTAACTTACTTGAGTGAACCAGTACTACCCTTTACCAAAAGTAGGTAACAACCTAGAGAGTGGATCTGCAGTACTGAATACTTAAGGATTTTAATAGAACAGAATAGACTGCTTCAGTTGGAAGGGATCTATAATGATCATCTAGTCCAACTGCCTGACCAGTTCAGGGCTGACCAAGTTAAAGCATGTTAAGGACACTGTCCTCTTAAACACCGACAGGCACAGGGCAGTGACCAGCTCTGTAAAAAGCCTGTTGCAGTGTTTGGTCACCCTCTCAGTGAAGAAATCCTTCCTAATGTCCAGTGTAAACCTCCCCTGGTGCAGCTCTGAACCATTCCCATGCCTCCTATCACTGGATACCAGGGAGAAGAGATACATCATTCAAATAAGGTGCTTCAGTATTATCTTTACCAGTGAAATTTATTCTGTTTTTCACAAGTTAATGCAAAGCAAAAGTCCTAGGTAACTAAGAAAAAGAAAGTAATGTGCTTTCTTACCAAACCCAGAAACAGGCCGATGAGCAAGGTAGCTAAAATGAAGATTGCGTAAGAAATCCAAACGTGAATTCCAAGAGTGCCCGTGAGGTAGCTATGAATTTGCTAGAAATGAGAAGATGATACTTAATAACTTCATACATAACACCACATATAATTTATACTGCCCTCACAATTATTAACCAAACAATAAATTAATAGCTAATTAAGACCTTTCATTTAACAGTATTTATACTAAAGCCTTCCCCCTCAAGCCCTACTTATCCTATAATGTCATACTAGAATTGTTTTGATACCATTAAACCTTGTTTTTCTTTACCAAGTTTTTCACATTAAAAGGCTTTTTAAGCAAAGGCTGCACAATTCCTTCTTCCTAAGATACTCAGCATTAGAGATGCCATATGTAATCTTACTGCAGATAAATGTATGAGGAAGCCTCAGCACAACGTTCTTGATCCTTCTACTCTGTAAGAAGGTGGCAACTGTGAGACAGACTGTAGATGAACTCTGTCACAAGGAGACCATAAAGCCAGCATCCCTGATAGTGACAGTCACAGCACCAACAAAAGTCTATAAAGCTGATCATTTACAATAACTTAGAACTTAAACATTTCAGAACCAAAGAAGTAACCAAGTCAGGTTAAAAGTAAGTGTCCTTTTACATCCACTCACAGGCACACCACCAAGAGGAAAAAAAAAAAAGCAACTTCACACAGAGCTTTATCCCCATAGTTACATCTGGGAAGCAGAATGGTAGACATTTAAAGCTGCACAAGATCCAAATACATACTTAAATTTGGCAATTAACTAAAATTGAGCCATTTAGGTCCTACACAAGATCTTTAGCTCTCAAAAGGAGCCACACATTCTAAGCAGATACTGAATAAATTATTTCACTTACAAATGTAGAGAGAATAATATAAATACAATATTAAGATTTCTTTGAAACAGCAGCCTGTTATTCGAACCTACAAATTCAATTGACTGAACCACATCAAGTCAGATAGTCTGGTAGGAAGTAATTTATGACATTAGAGCCCTTCCAAGAGTGTATCCATTAGAAAACAAACCACAATCAACATTTACAAAAGTTTTAAATATTGAAATTCGAGGGTTGTGGGTTTTTTTAAAAATGTTAGAACAGCTTCCAACATTTATTAAAGCATATGCAAGGACAGCACAACAAGAAGCGTGAGGAAATGTACAGCTGAAATATTCACCAAAGCGGAAAGCAAATTAGAGAAGGTTCCTTCCCAGAACATTTAATCTTTCAGGAAGGAAACTAGACAGAGGCAACATCATTATACAGCAACCATGGAAGAGAAACACCAGAAGGCTAGAAAAACTTAACAGTACCCAGTGAAAGAAAGAATCAAAGATAGCTTGCCCAGGAAACCTAATAACTCAAAATTTGGTTTGATTCTGGGTTACTGGAAGTGATACAAACTGTCTTCAAACACCCTACTACATTTATTTTTTGTAGCACATTACAACATTAAGACCTTTTGCTACAATCAAATACAGTCTCTCAATCTTGGCTATATTTGAGGATTTTAAGGAACCATGTTTCCTAACCAGGTCTGAAAATTTTCAGCATTTGTATGCTACAGGAGAAACGTTGATAGCTCCCAAATAAAGTGCCTTGAAAGATTTTAAAGTTCAGAGCATATTGCAGAGTACATGAAGCAATTCTCCTTTAATTCTGAGAATTACTGTACTGTCCAAATTTGTTGTATATGTCAACACTCCTATAAAAAGTGTTGGCAGTTTGAAATCCAGATGCAGAAATTCTTCCTAAAAAATAAAACCATTACCCTCTCTTCTCCTGTACGGTATAGCAGATGCCAATGAACTGCAGAACAGCATGATTTACAATGCTGAAAATGAACCTGGATATAATCTTTAGGAATTGTATTAAGTGAGAGAACCTGGTAGATACTAAATTATGTTTACAACTATTTTTAAAGCAGCTCTTTAAAAAACTACTTTATTGTGTTAACACATTTTGATAGAACATTTTAACTATACCAAGATGATAAGATCAGTAAGTTTTTTCAGCACCGATGATAATCTTTACAAACTGCCATTTTTGGCATAGTCTACAAAATTTATAGTGCAAAGACTACACCCAATGTACAGTAAATGTAAGGAAAATTTAATAGAACTATTCAGTTAGGTTTTGACTTCTAAACAGATTATTATTCTAAGCATAAAAAAGGGTATGGAAAACACTATCATGTAGTTACTTACCCTGATCCATCCAGAGAGGTGAAATAGCCCTGCCATACCATGCATCCTAGAAAATGAAGAAAAGGAAGGAACAGGTTCTAAGACAGATAGGAGTTGAAATACACAACATACTGCCCAGAAACCAGAAAAAGTTTCTATCTATAGACTTTCAATACCATTCAGTCCCTAGTAATTATCAGAAAAATACAAGTTCTCTGTATTATGTTCATTTAAAGCCAGCTGATTGCAAAGCACTGAAACAGTACCTTGAAAGATGACATCTGAGCATAATCAAGAAATACCAATTCCAGTCCTGTAGCTTCTCTCCACCTTATCAAATATTATATAGCTCTTCCTCATTCTCAGATGAAACGTAAGGACATCTGCTGGATCTCCGACATGAACTTACACCTAATAACTTTAGCTACAATGAAATGCAGGTCACTCACATCTTTGGTTCATCCTTTATATCATGCAAGCACTCTACACTATTTCAAAGCAAATTCAGTTCTCTGAATACAATCTGTGATACACTGTGTAAGCACTACACCACTTCTAGTCTAAAGGAGGATGCAGGACTTCCTGGTAAATAAATAAACAAGAAATCCTTAAAGCTAAAGGCTGCCTTGCCCCAACTGGCCAGAAGTCATGAAGCAATAATCTGTAGAAACACACATTTGATTCCAGTACTCAGCAGATATTGACACACTTATATAATGCTCAGTGGCTGTACATTTTTCTTTATATATTTTCAAAGATTATATAAACAAGCCTCAGTAAGCACGAACAAAAGCAAGTGCAGAAAATAAGCTGCTTTTAAAAGGTGAGAAACTGAAAAGCAGGTTGTCAATACAGATTGCTTCTGCAAAACCTACATATCTAGGGAATAAAGGCCTTTTGTCTCTAAGCTGTCAACATAGCACCCTTAATGAATAATGAGCTATAAAACATGTTTCCTGTTAATGAAAACAAACTGTTACATTATAGAAGATGGAGACTTCCATCCTGCTACAGGCTCCACAGCTTCCCATTTTCTCTCCAAAACATAACCTTGAAGATCTTCCAATGTCCGTGAGCCTCGGTATCTGCGAAATACTCCATCATTTGCACTAAAAAACAGAAATATGCATTAACACTTACCCCTTAAACAGTATCTGTGGTAAAAAACCCCAACCAAAAAGCCCATATACATAATAGATTTGACTTGCTCAGAAAGTTGAACGCTTAATCATTTCCAATATATTTTGAAACTGTAATCGGTGATGGAAGGTCTCAGTTTAAACAGCATGAGCATTTGCGATTTATTAAAATTGCTAATTTTCTTAAATATTCACTTGCATTACAGCAAATACAAAGCATATGAGGTTAACCACCAAACCATTTTTTAGACACAACACAGTTAAAAGTGTGCATCTATTTATGCGTGTGTGTGTATATATGATCAACTCACAATACCATGACTTAATATATGGTTCAGTATTTAAAAGATGACATTGTTTTATTGGAGAAGAGATAGAACAAATGTCTTTCCTGATCTGTTTTTAATGGGGGAAATTAGTAAAGTCACTTAAACTAAAGAAAAGCCTCAGATGAGTACTATATCAGTGCAATCAAAGCTCTAAACAATAACCTGAACTGAAATCAAAAGTCAGTATTCCTTCATTTTTACCTGCATTTCAGAGTTACAGTTTAAAACAAGTGACAGGTGGGAGTAAACAGTTACATATTGATACTGAGTCAACAGACAAAGGATTCTAGCAAGTAAGAGAAGCAGTACAACAAAGAGTGGAAAATTTCTGCACTGGTTTATCTGCAACCCACGTAGTCAGTGATTCAAATGAGAAATTTTAGTGACACTTATGTAAGGTCAAGTATTTCTGCTCACATATGGTCAGGTTTGTAGAAGCCAATACCAATTCTCGCATCATTTTTTACAAGCGCTATTAAATGTTGTTTCCAGACTGAAAAAGCATCACTTTTATCTAGGTACAAAACTGTTTGGAGGAGAGCCTTCCACCACAAGTTAAAAATACATCCTTTATGTTCCTTTAGTGCACTGAGTTCCAGAGAAATGTTTTACATATTGACAAAAGTGAAATAAGCCAGGTGTTCATTACATCTTCCATGCCACTGTTCAAAATGGACAGGAAAAAAAAGGAATATATACCGAAACAGACAACTGTTTCTAGGATGACGCACTTACTGGTAAATTGTGGGCAGTGTTGTGACAAAGAAACGACCACTCAAGCCTGGAAAGGGAAGAAAAAAAACACATCAAACAGTTAAGCTAAACGGAAATTTGTCAGCATTCTGACTTATCTATAAATATCGACAGATATGTATTTGTAGACTAGAAAGCAGCAGACTGCAGAGCTTTTACCACCGTTTTGTAAATACAGCTTTATAGTTTGTCTTCATAAATGCTACAAACAGTAACATACTAAATAACTGCTGACAAACTAAGGGAAAATGCTTACCTTGAAGAATGCTTACTATGAGGTAGTTTTTCTACATGAATTTCACTGATCAATATTTGCACACTGCTGAAGTTTTTGACTAGACTGGCAGTGTGCACCTCCAGCTAAGAGACAGAAAAGCCACACAAGTGCACCCACATTCAAGGAGGCTGTGTGCTTGTGTCTGTGCATGCAGACAACCTTTGTTTCATCTAGAAAGCTGGGCCACTAACGATAGCAATGACAACAACGGCTTGCAAACTCCGGCCCCTGATTTTAATTCATCCTCTATCTGATTTTAAATGGTTTAGAGCTGCACACTTCAGATCTCAGGTACTTTCAAGTCATTAACTAAATTAACCTCTGTATTTGCTTGTTTGCTTCTCCCAAATAATCCATGTACACTGCACAGTCTGTTCTTATGTCCTGTAGGAAAGCTCAACCTCTCTCAAACACGACTGTAGCAAGACAATGTTTTGGTTATTTCTAGGTTCTTATCCTTCCTTCCTATACATCATTCCTCTTGAGTTAAATACAAATGGTATGCAAACAGATTGATAATAAAGCTTGAGATGTCTCAGCACGTTGTTTCATAAAATATTGCAAATTTCAGCCATGAGAATAATTTTTTACACCATCCAGAAGGGTAAGTCATGTCAGCATTTTGAGCATCAGACGTAAGACCACAGAAAGGACAAAGAAAGGTTGAAGCAGGCCTTCAAGAAGCTGACAGGAATTGTTCCCCACACTGAAAGTGAGTGTTTCACTGACAGGCAAATACATAATAATCTTCTTAAAAATATCACCCTAGACAGTGACAACAATGCAATTTAAAGGACAGAGAAATTATCCAAGTCATCAACAAGCAGCTTGTGAGGAAAAAGGGGTTTGAAGTTCTCCAGCCTTGCCCTTCATAGTGCTACAGACTAATATGTGCAAGTGCTTCCAGCTTCACTGCTGTGCTAAGTACACCAACGAAGATCTCCCAGAGCATGGCTTCATCGCAAAAGAGTTGGTGCTGAAGCAAAACCTCCCAAACATCTCATAAGCAGGCTCTCTGTACAACTCAACTAGCTAAGCTGTCAGGTGAAGACACCACTCTTTTCCCACTGCTCCCAAAGCTGAGTAAAGTCAGGGCTACTTGACACTAACACCTCCTGACATAAATCATAAAACCTGCAAGTGAGAGGAAGACCTCACATTAGTGCTTGGTAATCTCATTTACTATTCAACACATCCAACTTAAAAGACTGCAGAAATGAAAAAAGACTGCTACTAATGCAGTCCATTTTGGAAAAAGATACAACAGACTTCAGAGATTATCAACCCCTAGATAGGCAGTCTAACTCCATTAGCAATGGTTACATTCCTCTAGTAGCAACTGCCATTCATATAAAGTACCTATGCAAAGAGTACAAACCAGTTATTAACTATTTCCTTTTATGAAGTTCTGTGATAATATTTGGGGGAACCAAAGGCTTCATTCAGCCTTCAATAAAGTAAACAACTTTCTGCATCAGGAAGCTAGCCATGGAAAAGTACTATAGCAAGATAGTTTCTGCCTTTGGAGACAGAGATGTGTCAGACTGAACTAAGCCAGCTATTTCTGAAAGTTTCAGTAGTAACGCTTTCCTTGTGTGAATTTCCCTATGGGACAGGCAAAAAAGCATTGTGTGTTTTTTTTGTAAAGGTTTTTTTTTTTTTTTTTTTTGAAGATGTTTCAATCAAATCAAGTGCAAGCATCTTTACAGTTCCAAAAAGGAAGTCTTGATTTCAACTTTTCAGCTTTCTGCCTTCATTGCTATGAGAGACAGGGTGGTGGTGAACTTTATAGAACAGCTAAAAGCTGTGCCAGCACAGGGAGATATAAAGTAAACAAACACACAAGTGTAACAGTAGAATTAATCAAGCAGAAAGCACAGCTTCACAAGAAAAACTAGGTGGAGAGCCATAAAGAACATAAGCAGCTTAAGAGCAGAGAAAGTCATGGGAACACTGAAAGACTCTCTGAAGTTCTTACAAATACTAGTCAAGCAAACAGAAAACAAAATAGCTAGTCGAAGTCTCTCTTACCAGTAGCCTATACTAGAGCAAGTACCAACAGTCTTGGAATGAACAATGAAATCTATAAAATATAAAATCTGTTGCCAAAAATGCATCTTAGCATCCCTAAAGCTCTAGCTGAAGGTTCATTGCTTATCTAAGGCACCTCCTTAGAACAGTAAAACCATATTTGAGCCAGCTACAAAAAGCTAAGAACAGACATGAAATTGTTTTGGTGCCTGTTTAATAAGAACTTGAACTGGCTAGCAGTTTAACTTGAAACACAGTTAAGCATCTGTCTTTGGAAATCAAAACCTGACATACATCCATCATGAAGTCAACAACTAATCAACAACAGGAAAAAACTTCTGTATTTGCACACACACCCCAAATACACAGAGAATATGCCATCTAAAAATACAGCTGCTTTCATCAAATTACTACTTAAAGAAGATTACAGAAGACCCAGGAAGTCTTATAATGTCACAGGTAAATGTTGTGATTGGGAGCTTAAAGACACCACAAATATATAGAATTTTGAGATCCAGAAACACCCCCATTACTTGAAATACTGAACTTTTCAATACAAAGGATAAGGAAAGAATAAACACTTTAAGACTAATACATCAAGTGACTGAAATAGGCTGTAAATCCATTACAGCTCCGGTGGATTTATTCTTTGGGAATGTGCTGTAATTAAGCAACATGAACAGCTACTTTCTCCTGCAGGTTTTGAAAGTGTAATTTTACACAATTCTGCACTCATTTAGTGGTTTTCCCCTCATTTAACACATTTTGACTACTTCCAATTTGATGAAGGGGTTACATAACCAAAGCTAATTGAGATACCATTGTGCAAGCAAGAACAGGAGATGGAGCGCTTAATCACACCAACCGAAAGGCTAAAGCATAAGCCTATAGTAAAAATACCTCAATAACTTTGGAAAGATTCCAAAGGAGCTCATATACCTTCAAAATCACATCAGCATCAAAGGTAAAATATGTAATAAATCTTTGTTTTCCAGTTGACTATTCATTAGTTTTAGAAGTGACTATAGTTTCCATGCTTTGTGCTGAACTGGGTATTTTAAATTTATTACTCATGCTTTGGTACAAATTCAACATGCTGGGTCAGTCCTTTGACTTGCATAAGTCAAACATCCTCAGAGGTCAAGACTCTTGCCATTAGAAATTCAAATATTTAAGGAAATTCTGGTTAAAAGTCACATCGAAGGTCTTAAGAATCTGGCATCACTCAGCAGTCAGTTAGATTTATACCAAAAGAATCCCCACCTAATCAGGAGAAAATAACAGAATAGGATTATAATGGTTCCTCATTTGCAGCCTTAACTCCAGAGTAACCATTACTTTGTTAGTGTGAAGAAGTTGGCTTTAGGTTCACACCTATGAATAAAGTTTTAATATTCAAACTCATCTGTTTAATAAACTGTTAATGATTAGTATAGGCACTAAAGGAATGCCCCACATCAGCAGCTTTTCGGCATTTTTTGTATACCTGAAACTTTTAAGAAAACATTAACCTACACAAGGTCTAGAATAGCTAGTATTTTCTTGTGAACTTAAATCACTATCTGAGACCAGAGTTCAATTTCCCTGCTGTTAGTTTAATACAGTTAACTTGTCTGTTTTGTTAACTGAAAACATGCCAAACACATTTTCCATATGGTTTATAAGGAAAAAAAAGATCAGTAAAGCTTAGCCTTTTTATTCTATTAACATCTCTTCCCAACTCAGTCTTTTGATACCGCTGATCAAATCTTTCATCCCCTCAGAGACAAAACAAGCATGAAGCATTCCCAGGAGATGCAGAGGTTTAAACAATATTGGTACTGCTTATACAAACGCAGGTTTAGAACTTTGAAGTGAGTTGCTAAAGAAGCAAATAAGATTGTATTCATGCTTCTACGGATAGTTAGGAAGCTCTTTTTGTAAATAGATTTGCATATGCACATCACCAACAGAAAACAATAACATCTATACTTCAAAGCATTAGCACAGTTAAACAAGTCAAGAACCCAGCATCATCATGGAAACAGTTAAGAACTTATTAAAGCCGTCTCACATTGTGGTAGTGCTACCACACCCTGAAACTCTCAGTAACTGGAGGCTACAGAACTGGATTCTTCTGCAGACAGTTTGGAGGAGAGAGGAATTAGACAGGCAACAGCTTTCAGTGAAGTAGATTTAAAATAGAGAATAAGCCCCTTTTAATACAGTGTTAAGCCAGATCACTCCCCCAGTTCTTTAATCCTTCAAATTGAGTTTACAAACTTAGGCTCACAGATATGAACTGTAAGGAGAAATAAAATGTGGATAACGTTATTTTGATTTAGAAACCTGTTTTCTGACTTGGCTGGTATCCCAGGTACTCTAGTAGAATAACACACACTCCCAGACACTAAGTGGTGCTTAGACTGAATAAATCCTTTTACTAAAACAGTCTATTTCATACTATACCTGGTTCTTGAGTGACATCCACCTTTCCCACAGTGATATCCAGATGTTCACTTTCCTTTGCAAAGCTCTCCCATGTCAATTCAATCTGTTGACAAGCTGGACACCAAGGAGCATAGCTAAAGGGGGAAAATAGGTTAAATATTTTAATATTCTTACATTTATAGACATTCAAACTGATTTACTGTACAGAAAAAATACAAACACATCAATAACACAGGAAAAAAACTCTGCAGTTTTTCTTAATCAAGTCTACTGAATAAAATAATGAAGTAGTTTTGTATCAATCCCTACATTCTACCTCATGTTATTAAAACAAAACAAATCTCCACAGATTTGAGAAATTCATACCCAAACCCCTCACCACTCATGATTACATATGAAATAAATCAATTTCCATGGAAGTTATCTGAATTACTGAAGTCAGGCTGTCCTCTGAAGCTGTATACTTAAATGTAACATTTTGTATTGATTTTCCACACCTCAGAACTTCCAGAAATTACATTTGCCTTAGCCCACTCACTACTCAATACATCAAAGCATGACCTTTTTGTGAGCATTCTCTTCAGAGATTTAAAAAGAGTGCACATCAAATTCCTACTGCTCATACTGCTTGTTCTTCTCAAGTCTTGTATTTTCTGAGAATTAATTTGAGAAAAATAAGAAAGCATGGTTCAAGAGCCGAGTTTTCTATACTACCAATTGGAATAATCCATTTTGTTGTTGCTACTAATAGTATTAACATGGAGAGCAAACAGCTAATATGAAAGAACAATACCACGTAACACTTAAATGCTGATAAAATCCTACTTGCTATCTTTATGCATTTTACCCTAACTTGGTTGACAAGGTCTGTGTCAAACTTTTGCAGGTTGCAGTGGTCTGTCATATACCACAGAACAGCAAGGTACAGAGTGTAACTGAACCATGGCACTTGCCCATAAAAAAACGTACCCTTTTACAAATCAAAAAAGATCTTGGCATGGTTTAACCTAATTTATTGGAGGGGGATTTGGAGGTGGAAATGTATATATGCATGTTGCTGGTAGCAGAAGTAGTGGGTGTAGAGACACGTCACTTCCCACAGTACTCCATATATGCTACCATGCTCCTCATCCATTGTTACAAACAGATTTCTTCATGGGCAAAGGCCAATATCTTTAACAGCCCACATAAACACTACTTTATAATTGGGAACCTCTACAAGGAACTCCCTTACTCCTTCAGTTTGTCTGCCAGAACTACTATCTGGCCTAAAAGTGGCACTCCCTACTCTCTAGCTGTCTTCTGATCAGGAAATGCTTACTTTCTTAGTGGCTGAGGACAAAGATCTCCCCAGCTACCGGCAGATGTTTCATGTAAGTAAGATTGAATCTAAACCAGGTAATTTCTTACAGAAGCAGCAGAATCAAATTTACTCTGAGTGCTTTATGGTAGGCTTTGAAACCCAAGTATTTAAAAAAGAAAATCTTGTCACTAGATACAATTTTAAAATATGTGTTATTTTACCATACTAGAAATTTATGATTTTAAGTATGAACACCATTACTGTGTTTTTTTGGATCAATATCACTTCATATGAAAGTATTGAAAACAATACATAAATTTTACCATGCAAAGAATCAGCCCCTTCGTATCTTTTAGAAAGGTGCTGGAAACAAGTCTCACATGCAGAGTTGTTTCCCATCATGCTGGCCTACAGAGAGCTTTTAATAATAGTTTGACAGATACTGTACTTTAGTATTATTTTATTACAGTAGTTTGACTGGTAGGTAAGAAACTGCACTCATCCATCAGATAATGTTGCTGATGTTGCTCTAAAATTAAAGACGTCAGAAGGTTTTCTAAATCCAGCCTCTCTAGATGTGTCAAACTCACGCCATGAGATTTTGAAGATTAATATACCCTTTGGCCTGTTTAAGGTACTATCTGATCTTGAAATAGAAATTTGGTCAACATCAACATTTAAGTTTACATTTTGCATTCATGAGCCTTTCTTCTAAACAAAATTAGGTGGAATATTCAACACACATGGCTAATCATATGATTATAAACATTTTCTTTAGCCTAAAGCAGCATTAAAATACATTTATATCACAGTGTTGCAGTGACAGAACATAACAATGAAGTTAACAAAAAGCCTTAGTTGTTGGCTTCCAATTTTTTATTACCAATATTGGATGTGGGATGGCAACAGTCACATATGATACTACAAGATGCAGACACTCAAGCTGAACAATGGCACAGACTTAACAATATTTGCTTCTTAAAATATTTTACATCAGGCTTAAAATATTTGCTTTACATTCCTGAAATTACACATTTAGTTTTTGTCAGCCAGGAAACACCCTGTCCTCACATATACAAGTAAGAACTTGCAATAAACAGAGTTTTGCAAGAGTTATCACTGCTGTTTACTTCAACATCCTCACTTTTCTGAAGCTTGAATGTCTGCTTGTTATGCAGCATTTGAAGCACTCAGGAATTCAGGAGTGCCTCCCGGAAATCAAAAAACATTCTGTTGCCAAAGCCTTATTGTGCCTCCCTCTCAGTCTTAAAATACCTTCCCCTTACACTTTCAGTAAGACACAGAAGAGTAAGATACTTAGGTCACCTTTACCAAAAGTTTCAAAAAACTTTTTGCACCCTGAAGAACTGAAGCTTAAGGAGGTGCTTTATTTCAAGGGCAGGCTCCTAATGACTCCTTTATAACTGCGGCTGACTTGTTTTTCTACAGGAGTCACAGTACAGCTACCATTCTTAAGTTCTCCAGGAAAAAAAAAAAAAAAATCCATATGTGTGCAGTAAACACAGTTTTCATTACTTTTCATCAAGTCACAATATTCAAGACCTCATCACTTAAAAAGTAGATGTAGCCGAATTTCTTCTGCCATACTCCACAGACAGATCAGGAAATAATCGTCATCAACACCACCAAATTTGGGGCTGTTACTCCTCTAGCTTCTCCCCTGCACAGGGCCTACCTTAGCTGTTAACGTGTTGCCTTATGCCCTACAAGGGTGCCACGAAACAAGACTCTGGTCTTTCCAATTAAAAAAAAAAAAAAACAACAAACAACCACAACCCTATGTCCACTGAGATTTAAACAAAGACCTGGGCAGTTGGTTAGGGAAAGAAAATTTTCAGTGCCCCATTACACATGAAAAAGCAAGTTACTGATGTCTGACATTTAAGGATCAGATTGAAACACCACATACCTATAAATTACACATTGCCAAGTTATTCACCACAAGCAGGCTATGCCCATCTCTCAAAATACACCTCATCTGTTGCACTGCCAGACCTCTTACATAGCACAAAGTTTCACAAATGAAACATCATCATGCACTGCTGACCCTCCATAAATAAGGCAACTAACATCTATCTCCTGGTCAGGTCCATTGCGAGAACAATTGACTTCAGTGGATTAAAATCATTATTTCAAAGTGGCCAGATGTTTTCTAGTTCCTACTCCAATTCATTACAGTACCTGAACCTTTTTCAGAGGGCATCAAGAAAGCAATCCAAAAGCAAAAATTTAAGGTCTTAAAAAGTCAAAAGCAAAGTCTGTGTCTATTTCTGATCCAAAAAAAAAAAAAGATCAAGCTTTGGCTTTCAAATATCAACAACTTCACTGATGACTGCCATACAAAAAGAAAAAAAACAAAACCAAACAAATTAAAACCAGTTTGAGCAACTATGCCATTCGTCATATCACTACAGAGTTGATCAGTAAACACAGAATGACTTTACTAAGATTTACTGATACATAGTTTCCAACTCCAAGGCACTAATCTCGCCTCTCCTAACTGCTTGGCTAGGGAATTAATTCATTTTCAAATGAATGTAACTGCCTTCTTTTATCTGTTTTTTCACTACCATTATCAGTAACTATCAGCGTTGAACAAATGTAACCTGGAATAGCATTCTACACTTTGCTCTGATAGGAATTTCACAAAGTTGCAAGAATCTAGGATGCAGGTGTGAGACAATTTCCTGAAAACAGCAAAATAGGCGAAATGAAAGTTTCCCCATTTAGTCTAGTTTTTCCTCAAGATATACAACTTTTTATAAAGGCACTGCTTATAGTAAACCAAGCTATTTGCTGGATTTCAGATTGAGAGTACTATTAGAGGTGCAAATGCTGAGACAGTACCTAATAGAATGGTAAAAACAATACTGGAATGAAATAATTATTACTTTTATTAAGTAGTTTTGCCTTATTGCTACAGACTTCATAAAAGTACAAAAAAGACAGTGCTTGATGTCTTTGGTTGTTACCTTAAGCCTATCAGTTGATTCATGCTTGTTCCTAAATACAAATAGGTCTTGAGGAAGGATATGCAACTTGGTAATTTCAACAAAAGATAAGCTTCAGAAGAACAACTACATGGTTTCCATCCACTTTTCAAGTGAGCAGGTGGTAGCTAAAGAAGTTAGTCCCTGTAATCTACCAAGACCTATTATCACAATAGTACATGCCCTAGAAGCAGGATGCTAAGCCCCCTCCAAAACAGACAGGGAAGACTTCCCAACACAAAAACTGTTGCTCCACAAAAGTTTAACAAGTTGGGGGGGTTTGGTTGTTGTTTGTTTTTTTTTTTCTTGTGGTTGGGTTGTGTGTGGGTTGTTTTGTTGTTGTTGTTGTTTTGGTTGTTTGGGGGTTTTTTAATTGCTGAAGCACCAGCTACCTCAGAGCAAACAAAGGAGGTTTCCTCCCTGGATTCTCCTGCCAAGCTTCACTCAAATGCCTCAGATCACAGATGGGCCCACTGAAGTGACAATACACCGAGACACTGCTTTGGGGAATTTGTTTCAGGGTGCAAGCTCAACCTTACAAATTCCCATACGGCTGTATTTACACTTCAGTAACCTGACATCCACCTCTTTTTCCAATAATACCTGAATAAAGGGGAAAAGTAACTGCATACCATTGTGGTGTGATGCACTACAAGCCAAAGAAATTGTACTCTCTGAGATAACATTTCAAGTGCTACTTTCCACTTGTTCTACAGCTCAGTAATGAAATACATTTTAAACTTCCAAGAACAAGACAAGAAGCAAAGCAGGGTATACCGTAATTATTCTGCTCCCTAGTTTCAAAAACAGGAAAAGAATGAGTGCCATCTGAAATTTAAAAAAAAAAATACCCCAACAACTTTCCATTCACACGCTTTTATTTTTAAAGATTGAGAAATTATTTTTAAAATAGAATGCAAATCAGACATTCCAAAATTATGTGAAATCTTCTAAAACTTCAGCAGATTAAGTTCCATCATTCTACATGGTTCTGTCCCCTTCTATAACAGTAAAACATCTGCTACCAAGGATATTTGTTTCACACTTTCTCAGCTTCTGTTCAGCCAATGCTCAGCACAGAAATATGACACATGTTCAGTTATTAAATAATAGTCCACAGATAATTTGGTCACTTCCTCTGAACTCAGTCAGGAGGGCTGCAGAAGCTTCAGAACTAAACCAGAGTTTTGGTAACTTGATTTTCATTTCGCCCTGCTTTTTGTGGTTTTTTTGAATAATAGGACAAAGAATAGCCTGGATACTAATAAATCAAGAACAAGTAACAGCCTATCCTCTTACAAGTGACAGAAACTTTGCAATCTTATTGAACTCTCAATCTAAATTACAGTAATTGTTAATTTATGGAATTATTCAGGAGTTTATTGAAACAAAGTGTTTCATGTCAACTGTTTAAAACCATTAGATCATGTAAATACTAAAACATTCTGCTAGATTTTTAGGCCATTCTCTTGAAACTACAGACCAAAGTGCTAGTGGAGCAGCTGAACCCTTGTGATAATCCAGCCTACTAGATAGCAGGATAATGTTTAATGCTAAACAACAATGAGAAATTAAAGTATGGGCCTATACTATAGGTATGAGAAGCTAGTCTTGAAAACATGACTAATTACTTACACTGTTCTCTTAATTTTCTATTTTAATTCTAGCCAGGAGAAAATCAAGACATTCTTTATCCAGTACACACAGCACCAAGTCTGTGCCAAAACAAATGGGAACCAAACCATTTAACAATCTGTGTGGGAACTAAACTAGATATTTTCCCAAGAGGCAAGTACCTAAAGGACTGCAGATGCAATAGGAGCATATGAAATATTTCATTTGTAACCAGAGGCATAAAGACAACAAGTTTATTGTTGGTGGGGTTTTGTATTTGGTTTAATCTATCTCAATAAGAAGAGGCTGTTAAATTAAGATCAATCAAGCTTGGAACAAGCTATGTTTACAAATGCAAAATGCACTCTTAAACAGACCAGAAATTAACTTTCTACATTCCTAACAGACACAATGTTAAAAGTACAGACAAAAAGGCAACTCTTCATATTAAGGAATCATTATCTTGCAGCCACAGACTAGAAATAAGTCAATAAGGAAACCTTTTTAGAAAGCTCCTTCCAGCATCACACTTTCAGCACTTCAGCCCGGATCTGTGTGCTGAGATAGTAACAGTAGGCAAAAAGTGTTTCAATGTCTTTCAGAGACACAAAGTTATCCAGAACATTTTTATCAATGAAATGCAGCAGTGCTTCCAGCACCTGCAATTTTGCCAGCTATGAATAACCAAATATTTAGTCAACCAATTATACACACTTCAGCTAGGAAGGATGAAGGAAGAAAAATCCTATTCCACTATAAATCCTGCACGCAAGTAATGTCTGACTTTATTTGTGCACCTGATTACAACAAAAAGGTGGTAACATACAGTAACTCACCTACACTACTCTCACAAATAGAAAAACCTGACATTAAGCAGAAGTAGTAGTACACATTCCTATCAGGGTAGAGTCTTCAAGTCAGTAATCTAGAACAGGTGACAAGAATATTTTTTTCAGAGAGATCCTATAAAAATATTTGCAACAAAGGTATTGCTTGGAAAATAAAGGTATTATAAACAAACAGGAGGTTCTTCAAGCAAATGAGGTTTTGATGAACCATACTGCATTCTTGCCAACAGCATGGAAGGAATCAATGAACTGACATGGAGGGCTCCTGTCCAGATCACCCATTCTAAACCAGATAAAAATCAGTAGAAGCCAAAATCCATCACCATGAAAACAGCTGCAAGAATCATAAAAAAATCAATACTCATCTCAAACTCCTGTTTAGACACAACTGGGAACCTCAAACTCTCACTAACTCACGAACAGCAGCACTGAGTTAGCACCCTCGATAAAGGTTCCTTCTCAGGAGATAAGCAGAAAGCACTAGAAATGTACCAAAGGAAACCGTGTGGAGAAGCAAGGATCTTTCACATATCAAACACTGTATATAAAATAAAACTAAGTCTAATTCCAGCAACACAGCATATTCAGCTAGCTCTAAAGCTAACTTTGCCACCATTGTTACTGGCAGCTATCTGTGACTCCAAACCAGAGTGCAACGTTTTAAATGGAGTAAAGACTCATAACAAGTTTTTAACTATTTGCTATTCCAACCACTTCTGATTTCAGTCAGTTTCTCTCTTCTTTCTTCCTCAGATGCATACACCACTAAGTATTTAAATGTTTTCTCTTAGAAATAAAAACTTTGAGTCACCATAAGTAACTTTTTCCTCCTTGAGATATGAACTCACATACGAAACAATAACTTTCATACAATAGATTCCACATAGGACTAGGATGTCCAAAGTGGAAAAATTTCTATTTACAAAATAAATTTGTTTTCCCCCACCTCAAGATCATCCCTTCCCACACCTTTCAGAACACAATAAATGACAAGAGAAAAAAGGACACTCAAAAATCCAACCTCAGTCCTTAGCCCCAACAGGGGACACATCCCTGGGTCTCTCTCAATCAACTATTTCCGGATTGTTCCCACCTATTCACTGATTAAAACCAGGTGTCCAACAGGATCCAGAGCAGTAAAGCCCTAGGATAGTCCCTCCCCCTAATAAGAGACTGGAGGTAACGCAAATTTAATTCTAAAACAACTGGGTAAGTAAGCATTCATGAGAGAGCACGAGTTCAGGTGTTGATGGGCAATCTAGTCCACTTCAGAGGCTACCCAGGCTCTTTCAAACTGTTCAACTCAAGCACTTTCACAGAGGAGTCGCACAGATGTTGCAATAAAATCCTACTTCATAGCAGCACAGCACACAGATATCACTTGAGCATACAGCCTACTTAAAACTACATTTTTGTTAAGTGCTGTCTTAAACACTCAAGTTCCTTTTCCCCCTTCTAAATACAAGCAGATGAGCAAGACTCCAAGAACACAACGTCATGTGCGTTTCAGGAACAGTATCATGTCACAAGCAAAGCCGTGACACCACTACAGTTAAGGAGAAGCACTTAAAACCCCAGCCAGCAATAGGCAAGCCGCTCTTTAGCCGTCACCAGGATAAAGCAGCAGCAGCACTACTGAAAAGTTCATGAAATCTGATGCATCTCCCTTTTAATACCACGATCTCTAGAGCAAGGCGGGTGCAAGAGAGGGCGTACAGGGGTGTTACATAACACTTACCACTTTGGAAAGCTACTCCTGCTAGAATATTACCCACTAAATTCTGCCTTCCTAGCTCGTACAGAATGCAAGGAAAGTCCCAGTCGGGTAAGCAGAGCAAGGCGCAGTGCCTGACACTACTCCCCAGCTGGCCGTTACCGTGAGGGTCACCGCTGAAACGCGCCTACTTTAACCTTAGGCAGTGAGACTGTGCCCCCGCAGGACGAGAACCTGAAGGAAAGCTACTTTTAGCAGATCGCAATAGAAGGCGAGCGTGTGCCTGCAGGCTCAGGGCCGACACTACTCGCTGTTAAAGGGGATCAGCGGCATTAAGCGTCCCTCTGTGGCCGCCCC